ATGCGATGTTATTGTATACACGTTGCATTTGAGTGGGGGTGTTAAGTATAAGTGTCTAGGGGTAGTATTGTAACTTCACATCTATTGTACACAATTTATATTGCCCTTTGAGCCTAATCTAATTCAACTGTTCATTCCCCAAATTGTAACAACCATCCCATCCAAAATATTAGGCATGGTAGGGATCAGGAACAATTTAGGATGATGAATACTCCAAGGGTGATATTCCAAATCGATATCTATAACCTGATGAAGGCGAAAGAGTATTGTGCATGATTTTGAAGACACTTGTGGTGACAGCAGGCAGCTACATAGATAGACTGCTAGAGGGTATCTCCGAATCAACCTCCAACAAATCGTCAATACCACATGAAGCCTTCTGTCATATACTGTCTTCCTTCTCTTTCGATCCTTTCAGCAAATTAGGGAAAAAAATGCTCGATGCTGGCTTCCGCGAAAACTTAGTGCACAAACATGTCATGCCAACTACGTCTTCTTTTCATCTATGGTAACTCTACAGCATGATTGCAGAAAATGGTACAGAATTCAACTGAAACTCTAATTATTTTGGCAAAATAAGGAAGGCCTTTGTTAAAGTTGAGTTAATTTAATTGTAAGCTCATGCTGTGTGAGGTTGAAAACTTCAAATCATATGCTCCCCGACTACTCATTTAATTTGAGCTGAAAAAAGTTTTCTCAACATTCTTCTTGCAGGTAATAAAATTCTTCATTTCCTTTCTTAGCCATAACTTGGAACTGTAATACCAACAGCAACAAGGCGCAGCAGCAATCTTGTATGCGTGATGAACAGATAGAAGTTCAAGATGTAGCTACTTTATGATGATGATTTGCTCAACTAGAACTTATTCCATCCAAAATGCATGGTTTATGACAACACAAGAGTGCACCCCAGTACACAGATACAACTAAAAGTAGATGACTAAAGAACACTCGTTTATACAAATATACATGGTGTGATCACCTTTATCCCATTTGAATTGTATTATTGAAAAAAAAAACAGTCTTCCTGATCGCCTTTTATATATCGTGTTTGATTAAGAAATAGCAAAAGACAACGGCCTTTCCTGTTACATGATATAAAAAATAAGTGTCATCAGCGCTCATCTCTTCTTCCGCAAAGCTCAAGAGCAGATCCTCTTCCGGGGATAGTGGCGCCACCACCATCACCGGCAATGCTCTCCCGATGCATCAAGACACACCTACATATGAATCAACCATTGAAACTATGTCCGAGCACAAAGTTCTCTCCAACTACTAAACATTAGCACACATTATTATATATGTATAGTATCCATCTAGAAGCCATAAGTATGAATTAATCACGGATATCCAACAAAACAACCAGAAACCGAAACCGACACAGAGCCGCCGGTCAGATCGTCGGGCTAGCCGATCTGACTGTGCAACACACGCCAGTCTGACCGGGCACACCTGCCCGGTTTGACCGGACTGTCATCCAGCAATCACCTATCACTACTAGAAAAAGCATTTTTCCCGACGTGGGGGTCTTTTTTTCGCAAGCCAACATGACCCTTGGAGCCAAATTACCGCCTACAAAAATATAAATCGGGGTGAAGTTTAAGCGGAGCCTGCGAAAATGATTTTTGCAGACGGACCACTTAAACGGCGCCTGCGAACATATGATTTTTGCAGGCGGAACCTTAAATGGTCCGCCAGCAAAAATCAGGCCTACATAAATAAAAAATACTAGTCCTATCTTATCATCTCCTCTTCCATCTTATCCTCTCCCCCACCACTCATTCCCTCCTTCCTCTCTCTCTCTCTCTCTCTCTTCCCTTCCCATCTTATCCTCTGCTCCCTCCCCTCCCCTTCCTTCCTTCCTACCGCGGAGGGCGTCGGCAGTGTCGCGGGTGGCGGTGCAGGCGGAGGGTGCAGCCGGCGGCACGGGCGGAGGCACGGGCGGAGGGGTTCGGTGGTGTCACGGGCGGAGGGGGCCAGCGGTGGCACTGGGTGGAGGGCATCGGCGACGGCGCCTACGAGCGACGACGACGACTACCGCCGGCCGCGTCGCTGCCCCACCCCGCGACCCCTCCCCTCCCAGATCCAGCGGAGGGGATGGGTGCCGGCAGCGGCGCAAGGCAGATGGGTCAGCGGCAGCGTGGGCGGAGGGCGTCGGCCGTCGGCCCTACCGCAAGACGACAAAGACTACCACAAGACGATGACGGCCCTACCGCGTGACGACAACGACTAGCGCCGGCCACGTCGCCAGCCCTCCCCTCCCAGATCCGGTCGGAGGGAGGCGGCGGCGGCCACCCCATGCAACGGAGGAGTTCGCCGGCGACGACGACATGGTTTTTGTTAGTTTACATGTACATTGATGTTAACTTGATGTGAATTTTAATCCAATGCTTTTGCGATGTGAATGCCTGTGATTGGATTTTGTTTCTTGGATGAGATTTGTGAATATTTGTGAGTTGTGATTTGAAACCCTAGGGAGGGGTGGGGCTGGCGGGAAATTTTTTTTGTGCTGAGGGTATTTTTGCAGGCGGGGTACTGTAGCATTTGAGGCGCCTGGGAAGATTCGAACGGCTGCCTTTTCGCAGGCGGTGCTTTGGTCCGCCTGCAAAAATTGCAGATTTTTAACGTCGTTTGGATACAGGCAGAAGGTTCTGCCACCTATGAAAATGTATTTTGACCGCCTGGGAAAATCTTTTTTCTAGTACTGTATTCACCATCTAAAAATCGCATATCTCCAAAACCACTTTGCTGAATAATCTCCAAATATCAAAACCAATTGTTCATCATAAATAATAATCAAACACACATCGATTTTACACGAACAATTTACTCTTCTGTAAAGAGATGTACAACTCTTAATTCGTTTCATCTTTAAATCCATAGTATATATATTCAACTGCACCCCCTTCCACATTTTTTCCTGGCTGAGAATGCATATATTATCCGAAGCCTACAGATGGTGGAGAAATCGTCCAAACACGCACTAATACGCACTCACACACAAATAGAATTAATGAAAGATCAACAGTTGTCTTTTTATCATCACTGCTTCCTCGAGGTTTTTTCACAAATAAGATTCTACATTACACTCACAAAACCGTCTCTCATCCAATACATTGTTAGGCATGGTAGGCATCAGGAAAAAGGTATGAAGCTGAATTCTCCTAGTATGGTGTTCCATACCAAGGACTGTAACTTCTTGGATTGGTTGACCATTGTGCCATAGGAGGAGCAACAAGATGAACTAATGTGCACGATCTTGAAACCACATGCTATGATTGAATAGGTATAAGAATACATTGCCAGAGAGGGCTTGTAGATCAACCATCTAGAACCCAAGATGCCGGTCCGGCTGAGCATGCTTTCGTCTTTGAGCATTTGAGCAAACTGGGGAAAACACTTTGTGTTGGCTTCAGTAAAAACTTGAGAGAAAACACAGTGTCTGGACTACACAGTACAGAAGGGTTGCAAAAAAGGAATGATACAGGTTCCTTATTAATATTCAACTGAAATTTAATTATTTTGGCAAAATGAGGAACACATTGTAGTATTTTCAGTAAAATAAAATGAGGAATGCCCTGCTTACGGTTGAGTTATTTTAACGGTTAGGTCATAGTAAGGCTGAAATCATGCTCCCCCTCTAATCATTTAATATGAGCTGAAAAATGTTTTTCTTGCCAATCTGATTGAGGATAACAAATTTTATGTTTCCTTTGTTCGTTTCAATTATTTATTTTTGTGAGGAGTTCCATTTCGTGCCACAATAACAAAGAGGAAGAATAGGAAGCCACAATCTTGTACGGATGATGAGTGAACTTCAACGGGATTGTACTTGGCTAGCTAGTAATTGGTAGTGCTTGCAGGTTGGTGGCGAATAATTTACTCATGAATAAAGACATGTACAAATCTGAACTCATTTCGTCTTTATAACCGTAGTAAATTCAAATGCACTGCATACCCCATTTTTCCTGGCGGAAAATGCATATCCAAAACCTACATATGGTATAGAAATCCCCCAAACACGCGCAAATGCACACTCATACACAGACATAATTTGTCTTTATCATCATCGCTTCCTCAATGATTTTCACAAATAAGTTTCTTCATTATACTCACAAAACTGCTCATCCAATAGACCAATACATTGTTAGCCATGGTAGGCATCAGCGAAAAGCTAGGAAGATGGATGCTCCTACGACGTTATTACATGACAAGTACTAGAACTTGATGAGCGTGCTGATCATTGTGCCACGGGAGGAGCAAGAAGATGAACTAATATTCATGATCTTGAAAGAACATGTCATGATTGAATGGGTATATAAATACATTGCCAGAGGGGGCTTGAGGATCAAACTGTTATAACCTAAGATGCCGGTGTTGCCGAGGATGCTTTCGCCTTCCATCATTTGAGCAAACTGGGGAAAACACTTGGTAATATGTTTAATTCCCATGTTTCATCATCAAAATGTATTCATGTAGATTCAATGAACAAAGTACAAAATAGTAATATAAGAAGAGCAAATAGCATAGTACTTCCCGTTTCATGAGGATAGACAAAAAGTGTTTTTAGTTAGTGTTGGCTTCAGTGAAAACTTTGGGAGAAAACACTGTATTACTTATGTCTACTTCCTTCTCTTTCCTTTTCGTTTAGCTCATGTGCACTACTTAGAAGGGTTGCAAAAAAAAATAAATGGTACAGAATCCCTGTTAATATTCAACTAAAATTGAATTGGCAAAACGAGGAAGGCCTTGCTTACAGTTGAGTTAATTTAACTGTTAGGTCATACAATAAGGCTGAAATCATGCTCCCGCCTACTCATTTAGTATGTGCTGAAAAATGTTTGTTTGACAATCTGATTGAGGATAACAAATTTTATGTCTCCATTGTTTGTTTTATTTATTTATTTATTTATTTATTTATTTATTTATGCTAGGTGTTTCTTTTCTTGCCACAATTTGGAAGAGTAACCAAGAAGAATAAGAAGCAACAAACTTGTTCGGATAATGAACAAATGACATTAAAGATATTGGTATTTTGTGATGATGATTTGCCCAATTGGAACTTATTCCATCTCACAGATGGTTTATGACAACACAAGAGTGCACCAAGTACAGGTACAGCTAAAAGTACATGACTAAAGAACACTCATTTATACAAATCTACATGATGCGATCACCTTTATCCGATTTGAATCTGAATAATAACACAAAACAACAGTCTTCCCGACCACCTTTTTTATCATTTTGAATCTGAAGAAATAGCACAAGACAGCAGGCTTTGTTGTTACATGCCGAAAAAAGCGCCCGTCAGCTCATCACTTCTTCAGCAAAGCTCGAGAGTAGATCCTCTTGCAGTATGGACTAGTCCTGAGCAGTTCCACATGAGGCCGTATCGCATTCGTCAGCGCGGAGTGGAGTGAACCCTGAAAATTTACGCGCAACGACGGATTCCGTTAAGTCAGGTTGCTGTCAGAATACTCTGGTTACTACCCAATTTTTTGCAATAGGTGTTTTACCTTGGAGTTCTGGATAGCTGAGTAGATGACATAGTTTGCAAAGGGGTGCTGAAGCAGCTGCTCAAAGTGTGGCACAGCAAGGAGCTCCAGAATGATGGTAGCCTTGTCAGCTTCCTTGAACACTTTCAGGCATTTCTCAACCACATTGCTGCTGAACTTCTGCATGGAGAGGTGAATATACCTGCCCTGAAACTGCTTTGTCAGGCTTGCATTTGCAGTGGGTACCTTCAGGTCTATCACATACTGAACAACATAGTTCCTGAAAAACAGAGTAGGTATAATGCTTATCAGCTCAGCTTCTACAGATACTCATTTTTGTTTCATATAGCAAACACAAGAAATGCAAATGCAGAGTTCCAAACAGAGTATTACCCGTAGGCATCTTGTGCAAGTTCGAATCCATTCGAAGCGATCGCAGCAACCAGCTTCTCCCTCTGCTCACCCCCTGAACGAGCAATGCATCGCTGCAGGACGCAGCAACCATGGCATTGCATCCCAATGTCGAGGCAGTGAACGGCAGCGGCCTCAAAGATCGGCTGAAAGTAGCAAATTCAGACAGTTCATGTCTCATCAGGGAGAAAGCCTTATCATTACACTACTTACACTACAATTAGAACAACAAATTTTTACTAGTTCAATTGTGGACAGCGAACAGTGTTATCTAAAAAAATTCAGTCAGCAACCAAAGATCGACAGTTGTTCATTCAGATTGCGCATCACAATATCTGCATCCCCACATCTTCCTCTCTTTTTTTTTTCTGAGTACTTACACCATAACAAACTTATGAAAAGGAATTACCATTTTAATTTCTGAATTCCATACAGACAGCAGTGGCATATAAACATAGCCACATTGTTCAGAAGATGAGGTGCATACCTTGTTGTCATTGGCATCAAAGGATTGCAAGCACCTCTGCACGACATGATTGCCATTAGGGTCCTTGATGAGCTCCAAGAACCCGGGGCGCAGCGCCTGGACGACGAGCTGGATCTCCTCCCTTGTCCTCAGGCTCTCGATCAGCTTCTGCACTGCCCTTGTCCTGCAATTGAACTCCATGATCACACACAATTCGCCAAAAAAAAGAATCGAAAAAAATTTCACTAATCACTAGTAGTAATTAGCAGTTAATTGTTGGGAATTGTTAGTACCCGTGGACATTGAGGGAGATCCTGACGAGGACGAAGGGGTCCTTGGTGAGGGTGAGGACGATGGCCATCCGCTGCTCGTCGTCGCAGACGGCGAGCAGCTTCTGCATGAGGTAGTTGCCGAACGGGTTCACCATCAGCTCGACGGCGTGGCGCGCGACGCCGGCGAAGATGAAGTCGACCTCGCGCTTGCCGTCGTCGAGCCGCTGCTGCAGGAACCGGCACCCGTGCTGGTCCCTGGCGATGTGGTACATGAACCCGCGCAGCCCGGCGAGGCTCTCGTACCTCGCCGCCGCCGCCGACGCCGCGGCGGACTTCTTCGTCGGGCTCGCCGCCGCCGCCGCGGCGGGCGCCGCGCACCCGCCCTTCCTCCTCGCCGCCTTGCTCCGCCCCCTCGCCGGCGGCGCCTGCGGCGGCGGCGGGGGCGGGGGCGGGGGCGGCGAGCACCTGACGTCCCACCCGTCGGAGTCGGCCCCTGCGGCGGCGGTGGCGTCGAACAGGCAGAACCCAGCGAACGGGTCGAACAGCGACGACGGCGGCGTCGGCGGCGGCGCGTCCACGCGGCGCCTCTCCAGCGAGAACGGCCGCGACGGCGCCGTGAACCCCCCATCCTGACCCACAAAACAGAGGCTGGACGTCGGCGACAAACCACCACCGCCGCCGCCAAAGAACCCCGGCGGCGACGGCAGCATCCCATCATCATCATCCCCCTCCACCACCCCCATCTCCGCGAGCTCCCTGATGAGGCAAGACACGTCAAACCCACCACCACCACCATCATCCCCCGCCGCGTCGCGCCGCCCGAGGAGGTCGCCATGGTGCAGCATGGGGATCTCGTCGAGCAGCCTCTCCATCTCCGTATCCACCTTCATCTCCTCAAATCTCACCTCAAACAAATTAATCAACAACGCACCATGGAATAACCAAGATCCGATCGAGATAGGGATAGGGATTTGGGGTGGAGGAGGAGGAGGGGAGGTGGTTTCTTGGAGGTGGGGCGTTGAGGCATGCAAGGGGAGGGGGTGGAGGAGGTTTTATACGAGGAGAGCGGGAAAGTAGTGGGGAGTGAGGTGAGGTGGAGGAGAGGAGAGGAGAGGGAGAGAGAGTGATGAGTGTGTGCCTCTGGAGACTGGGAGGAGGAGGAGGCTTCTTACCAAGTCGGATTTCCTTTTTTTGGGAGGTGCGACTGGGTGTTTTGGCTAATGTAATATCAACCAGTTTTTTAAGTCAAACATGGTACTGAATTGAAGGCATGTGGAGGAGTACATTTTGGCTGTGAAAAGAAAAAATAAGGGTATTGTTTTTGTTTGTTGTGGGGTAGACAATTTTTTCATTTCACGGCGAATGTTTATTAGGGGAAAAGAAAGGTCATAACTTGCAATTAATGTTTTACTACCTCCGTTTCAGATTATAAATCGTTTTGAGTTTGGTTAAATTCAAACTACTCCAAGTTTAACTAAATTTCTAGACAAATATAGTAACATCTACAACACTAAATTAGTTACATTGAATCTATAGTTGAATATATTTTTATAGTATATTTATCTTGTGATGAATATGCTACTAATTTCGTTTTCCTGGTTACTACCTCCCAGGGTTGTAATCTTTTATTTTTTTTCATACTCTATCAATAGAACTTCACATTGTTTAGTGCGAGTCGTTAAAAAAAATATGTTATTTTTTTAAAAAAGTCAAAATGATTTATAATCTAAAACGGAGGAAGTACTTATGTGAGATTGTCTTGAAGAGTATGCAGCTTTTTAAATTGAATAAGCATGCATTATGATTTGTGAATGCCAGTGTATATGGTTATAAGCACAAGTCAGAGCAAAGCTTATTGTCTGTGACATTTTGCTTGTTAAATTGTGTAAGAAATTGCCCTGTAAATTACTGTGGAAGAATTGGCATATTATTGATTCAGTCTATTATTTTGTCCTAATTGAATAATTTCTCATGGAAATTAGAAATTATCAAATACAAATAATGCTGTTGAATAACCAAGTTCTTTATTAATCGATTCATATATATTTGTCCATCAAGAAGAAAAACTATAGGTGATCTAATATATCCCCTGTCAAAAAGGGAAGAAAGAAAAAAGGACCACCACTGAATAGCTCCATTTTTAGCTGAAACAAATGAAGAATATCTCAGAAAAAAAATCCTGGCATTTACCAGGTCAGGCATATCTATTTTATGGTTAAGAATGGTCTCCTAGTAACTTGGCCCACTCCTCTCCAGTGGCCTTTCCTATGGACCATGAATAATGCCCCCAAATCTTGATTTGTCTGAGCTTTGTGAAAAAGACATGAATTCGGATGCAAATGGTGCACTTTTGGCCCCACTTTTCAGTGACCAATCCATCACCTTTTCTTCTCCCCCTATAAAAATATCTCTTGCAGGATATTTCTCTCCTTGGGCCCCCCAGCAACAAGGAGAGATATTTGTGATGGTAGGGTCCAAAGGGATGGGCAAGCAATGCTATACAATCAAGAAAGTGGATAAATTGGAGGTGTTATCCATAGGATGTGAGCTCTGAGCCATATGGTTTGGACATGGACCATGGCTTCTGCACTTTTTGGTACACAAAACTGTGTGTATAAATGTATCCTTGGCATCATATCAGGCTATATGTCAACTGGGGCAGATCTTTGTTGCTCATCCTTCAGCTTCAGAAAGGTCAGCAACTGATGGTATTGCATATGGAACAATGAATATCCCACTTTGCTAGGTCCTTGTGTGTGTGTGATTTGTTTTATTTATGCCTGTCTGCACTCGGTGTGCTGTGTTGGCATAGAATAGGAATGAAGAGATTAGCCAGACATTAAGATTTAATTAAAGAAACATAAATATATCCTCAGAGTATAAAAGCACATTTTCAGATAGTGACATGGTCACGGAGAGTTATTTTATTATTGATTATGCGTATAAAACCTATAAAACATTTCGAAATGTCATAATATGTTGAAATCATTTTTAAGACAAATAAAGGCACATCACTCTTAAAAAGTTGAATTGAAATATTAAAAAGACATTCATGTTTAAAATCTAAATGTATTGATTAAATCTAATATGCTACTAAAAGGAGCAATTCCCTATAAGCCCACCGATGACCGAACAGAAGGAGGGTCCTAATATGCGCCCATTCGTGCAGCCCCCAACAACATGTTGCGCCCGTAGTTAACCTACTCTAGAGGTCTGTACTTATTGCCATCACGGACTCGTTCTCTTCATGGAAAAAACGAAATTCTGTAAGATTCTTATATAAGTTACAAAAGCATTCAACATTGAAACTTTAACTTTTGTAACTTCCAGTCATGAAATGCAAGGGCGCTCTCTCAACTTGTGCAGGTATTTCATCTATATTTTCAAGCTCTAAAATTGTATTTCCAGATCTTCAAACTTATTCCGGGTGTCATACGGATCCAAATAGGCTCGAACCCGCTCTGTGCACTGACATTGTATGGTGACGCCTAAATATCTGTTGGATGCACATGTCAATCACATAGAAAAAGTAAAATTAAAATAATATTTTTTTCTTATCTTAGGTAGAGAGGAGAATAGATAAGATTCAAAAATTCTTTTTATTTTAAGAAAATGTATTTCAGAGTTCAAAGATTTAGATGACACACTTACAAAAATTTGGGGCTGTTCAGATTAAAACAATATTTAATCACCATACAATATTTGACAATTAAATATTTGACTCTAATAAATATTTGACAATTAAAACAATATTTAATCAAACCTTTAAAACTTTGGGGCTGTTCAGATTGATGCCATTTTCAACCATACTATTTTTTTTGGCAGTTCAGATTGATGCCATTTTCAACCATACCATTTTTTTTGGCAAAGTTGCCAAAAAAAATATCTACGTTTAGTTTGTTGCTAAATTTAGTGAATACATAAGAAATCCTGCCAAAATTTTGACAATATTGCTAGGTAAGGTTTATTTTGGCTACAATCTGAACAGGCTCTTTGACCTAAGATCGCTTTTTAAATGCTTGGTTTAAAAACAACAAAAATGCTATATATATACATTTGATTTGAAAATTAATATCACAATACGATTAACTTACTTCCAATATAAAGTTGATGTCCAAAGTTTAAAATGTTTAGATTAGTCTTATTCTAAACATATTAATTATTAAATATTGGAAAAGTCTATACACGCTAAAATTTTCTTACAGAATGCTTACAAACTCTGATGTGGCAAGTTGTGAGTAAATCTAGATTTTTTTTAACTCCAATATAATTAAATCAAACGGTTAAGAAATTTATTTAGAAGAGTTTCGTAAAAGAAAATTTATGACCGAAAAGAGTACTAGACACACTTTCTTTGAGCAATTGAAAAGGAACCAGTGTGACATTGTACTGCATCAGCAAATTAGCCCATACAAGCCCATTAGCACTTTAGCTTGTGGCCCATATTTCCTTCCCATTTGCCAGCCGGATCCACGGCCCGGTTTGGTTTCCTATAATCAACGACTACAACTTGGAGCCCACAAAATCATCGTCGCATCCAGGACGAAGCGATCGCGAGACAGATCGCCGCCGCCGCCGCCATGGACGGCAGCATCCTGGACGGCCTCCCGACTGACGCCTTCGTGGAGATCCTGCTTCGCCTCCCGCCGAGCGCCCGGCGGCGTTCCCGCCTCGTCTGCCGGCGGTGGCGCGACGTCGTCGACGCGCGCACGCCGGAGGGCCAGAGCCGCCGCGCCAAGGCACTGGTCTTCTTCTTGAATCGTGGCAGCCACTCGCCGGAGCCGAGGTGCTCCGCCCACGTCTTCGACGACCTGTCGCCGCCGTCGTCGAGCGGCGGCGGCCGGGAGATCTGGAACAGCGGCACGGGGACGGCGGCGGAGCTCGCCATGGTCGGCTGCTGCAACGGCGTGATCGCCCTGTGGGAGGAGGGCACCGGCCGCCTCACCCTCGTCAACCCGTCCACCGGCGAGACGCTCGCCGTCCCGCCGCCTCCGCGGCTGCCTCCGAAACGCCGGCATCGCCGCGCCCCGCTGGTCGTCAGCTGTCTCAGCTTCGGCTACCACCCGATCACGGGCAGGTACAAGATCGTGCACCTCCCCGCAGACGACGCCATGGCCGCCGCCTCTTCCAGCAGCTGGTGCAGCCCGTTCGACGTGGTGGAGGTGTTCACGCTAGGGGACGTCGGCGTCGCCGGCGATGGCGCGACGTGGCAGGAGGTGGCGGCGCCGCCAGGCTCGAGCTGCCACGTCCGCCTGGGTGTCTTCAGCCTCGACGGCGCCGCGTACTGGGTCGCCGCGGACAACGCCGTCATGTCGTTCGACCTCGAGCACGAGCGCGTCGCGGCCGTCGAGGCGCCTCTCCCGGCGATGCCGCTCGGGACATGGCTGGGCGCCCTGGCTGTCGTCGGCGGAAGGCTGGGAGTCGCCGTGATGGGATGCGCTGACAGCTACCCGACGACAACCATTGTTGAGGTACAAATTAGTCGACCATATAAGCATTTAATATCTGTTAATATATGATTTAAACGAAATACTTCCTCCATTTCAAAATATTTGACACCGTTGACTTTTTAGCACGTGTTTGACCGTTCGTCTTATTAAAAAAAATTTGTGAAATATGTAAAACTACATGTGTACATAAAAGTATATTTAACAATGAATCAAATGATATGAAAAGAATAAATAATTACTTAAATTTTTTGAATAAGACGAATAGTCAAACACGTACTAAAAAGTCAACGGTGTCAAACATTTTGAAACGGAGGGAAGTATATGTCTTTGCTAATTTAACCCCTATTTTTGGTAGGATTATTCGTTTTGCTGTTGTTTTGATAGCTAGGTAGATATAACTTTTTCAAAAAGAAAAGAATCGCATAGGACAATGCTAAACTTCAATAGGCTTCTATTGATATAACATGAAAATTTTTTTAGTTTTGGGAGGCTATAATTACAGGAAAAAAAAAAGTCAGCCAAACCAAGCGCCTACAACACAAACACCACCATTGGTAGGAGCAAATAGAAGTATGACAACCAAACACACTCCTCTCCATCCACACCATTGGTGGGAGCAAATAGAAGAATGTCAACCAAACACACTCCTCTCCATCCACATCTTAAACTCCTCTCCATCCACATCTTAAAATTGGGAGAGAGGGTAGTTCCGCCAACGTGGTCATATATCTATCCTCTCCATCCACATCTTAAAATTGCAGGGGGAGAGAGTAGTTCCGCCAACGTGGCCATTTATCTAGGCAGCTTAATTCGGTATTCCCTCCCATAAACATGTTTTTTTTTCTTAAAAACAGATAAAATCCATCCTTTGCTCCAACAAAAACACTTGGTACAATAGTTTTTGAGCTCAAAACAAAGCGAAAAAAATTTAACAAAGAATGAACTGAAATCCTATCTTTAAATCTCCATTTAAAGTTGGCGAAATTTTACATCCAAATTAAATTCCCCCCACCACTAGCTTCTAATATGATATATAATATATAGATTTTTGGGCCGAGCTAGATTTGAACCAGCGTAGACATATCGTCAACGAATTTATAGTCCGTCCCCATTAACCGCTCGGGCATCGACGATCGATGAACTGATCAGATTAACCAACCAAAGTTGGCCTCGGTCATTATGTATTGAACCGACGAAAAAGCTTATATAACTTTTGCACGATAGTAAAAAGTCATAGCAAAACTCAAACTCAAAGGGTAAACTGTGCTTCTTATAATTTTTTTAAGATCGACACGAATCAATTGATATTTCTGTTCTAATTTCGGTCGTTTTCTCTCTCTCTGAATCAAACATTTTTTGCCATAATGTGCTGTTCCTACTATCTACCAAGTATACGGCGTTCTAATCCTACTATAGATTTGAGCCATAGCACATGGTTTCATAAAATCTGTACGATTTTTCCGATCTTGCATGGTGCATTATGGTCTTGAAATTCTCAATGTAGTCATGAACAGATCCAGCCTGCTTCCCATGAGTTAAGCGCCGGATCGGTGCCTGTTTGCAACTTTCTTAAAATATATAGTTAATTCACTCTTATATATATTCACTGCACAAAATAATCTACTCCTGCATGCGTGTGTCGTGCGTGCAGGTGTGGGTGCTCGAAGGTGGAAGATCAGGAGACGAGGAGGAGCAGCGAACATGGTCACGGCGATAGAGCATACAGGGGTTGGCTCCGGGCTGGCAGCGCATGGTGTGGCCATACTTCTGCCACGGCGAGCACGTCCTGACGACCGACGTGCGGATGAGACGCAGATCGGCGCACGCGCACCGGCTGCACCGGCTCCGTGACGGGAGCCGCCTCGCGCTGGCTAACCTTGGGACGGCGGACACGGCGGCGGCGCCGATGTACGACGTCCAGGCGTTTCCCTACGTCGGAACCACAGAGCCGCTAGGTGAATATGCAGTTAGGGATGCAAGTGGGTTGTCTCGCTACCCGTATAAAAGCTTGCTTGTTAGTTTATTTCTCGAATGATAGTATATAAAATTTAGAGGAAAAGATGAACTAGAAGTGGAATAAGCGGGAAAAAAACCCGCTAGCCCGCCTCGCTTGCATCCCTATATGCGACACAGATGTAGAAAGAACTCAAAGAAGTAGTTATGCTATGTTTATATCGGAAGTGAATTTTTGTCTTTTGAGGGGACATCTCCCGTTTTGTGCATGTCGTTTAAAAAGTTATCAACAAATTTTAAAAAAATTGCCAAGATGGATCAATATATAATATATCTTTTCGCAAATATGCATATGAGTTAAAATTCGATTTATACTATTCGAAACAAAAATAACAAATTTGACCGTAAATTACGCGTTCTGTTCATGGTCAAAATTGTTATTTTTGCCTCTACTTGTATAAGTTGAATTTGAATTTCGCATGCTTGTAAAGTGACATATCACATATTGATCTATCCTACTAACTTTTTTAAAAAATTTTGATGACTTTTTGTGTGATATGTAAAAATGAGGGGATATCCCATTAAGGGATGATTTGAGTTTTCTGTTTATATCAGGCATATATATGATCGGTGTAACATTTTCTTTCATGTTTCGACATTTTACAATTAAAAGATTGTTCCCCGTTTTTTTATGTGAATTGCAAACAGTGACAATACTATTACGTTCCCAAATGATGGGACAATTAATAGAGAGAATTCATAGTTGAACAACGTATTTGTTGCCAATGAAAAATGCTCGTGGACTTGTCTCAAATTAAATTGAGTAGCACTTTGGCATGTTTGCCATGAACTCCCTTCTGGAGAAGGTGGCAGTGGCGGGCTTAGCAAGTGCGACGTGCGTGAAAGGGGACGACGAGATTGTAGAGACAGGGTTCTAGGATCCGAACCGAGAGGTCCAAATTTCAGTGAAATTCGCCCATCTCGGTGAGGTCCGAGACAATATTTCCTCATAAATTCATCCCCATTTGATTTAAATTTGGTTCATATTTTATTAAAATTTGTCTAAAATATCCAAAATTCGTCCATTTCGATGTAGACCGAATTATTTTTGCTATTGGACCAGAACCCTGTTGTGGAAAATAGATGGGTTTCACGAACGCTACCTCATGAAACCGCTACTGAAAGCTGATCGATTTTGCTAGTTTTCTACTACGTTAACCCAAAGTCGTCGGTTTTTGCCGGGTTTTATTGGTTTTCAGTAAATCCGTGCCCGAGAAGCAAATTCCCCTTTGCCAAAGTTGACTGATTTTCCCTTGAGATTTTACCTTTTTTTCAAACATTACCTTTTTTAACCCTGTTTCAATTTCTCAGCTTGTGTACAGGCAGTTTTGCCCCTGCCTTATGTTTCGACGACCTGTCCGACGAGTTCATCTGCAGCCAGCGTGTCTGGAGCGGCGGCGCTCGTCGTGTTCGGTGTTGGATTTAGTCTCACATCGGTAATTAATGATGAGGTCCCACGATTTAAAAGGTGGGGGCAGTCCTTATCCATCAGACTAGTTTTTTGGGTTGTGTAGGTACAGGACCTAAAGTTATGGCTCTGGTTTGACCTGTGGTGGAGCAGGCCCAATATGACCTAGGTAGCCCACGGTTGGTGGGGCCGGACTGGACACTCTAACAAATGGTATCAAAGACCAGATTTAAAACTCGGAACAATTTCCATGGGTCATATGGTGGAGAGGCCAGGTAACAAGTCTTGACGGGAGAGATTGTTAGGCCCAAGGCCCAGGTAAGGCCCAGGTAACAAGTCTTCGGGGTCACATGGGTTAATGTGATACAAGTCTTCGGGGTCACATGGGTTAGGCCCAGGTAAGGCCCAGGTAACAAGTCTTTGGGGTCATATGGGTTAATGTGACAGGAGAGATTGTTAGACCAGAGACCCAGGTAACAAGTCTTCGGGTTTACATGGTCTTCGGGGTCACATGGGTTAATGTGACGGGAGAGATTGTTAGACCAGAGGCCCAGGTAACAAGTCTTCGGGTTTACATGGGTAAGTAGAACTCGGAACAATTTCCATGGGTCAGGTAACAAGTCTTCGGGGTCACATGGTATCTTTGGGGTTTCACATGGGTAGGGGTCACATGGTGTCTTCGGGGTTTCACATGGGTAAGTAGGTTTAGAACTCGGAACAAATTCAATGGGTCACATGGTGTCTTCGAGGTCACATCGGTTAATGTGACGGGGGAGATTGTTAGACTGGAGGCCCAGCTAACAAGTCTTTGGGTCACATGAATTCGGAACAATTTCTATGGGTCATATGGTCACATGGTGTCTTCGGGGTTTCACATGGGTAAGTAGGTTTAGAACTCAGAACAAATTCAATGGGTCACATGGTGTCTTCGAGGTCACATGGGTTAATGTGACGGGGGAGATTGTTAGACTTGAGGCCTAGCTAACAAGTCTTTGGGTCATATGAATTCGGAACAATTTCTATGGGTCATATGGGTAAGTAGGTTTAGAACTCGGAACAATTTCCATGGGTCACATGGTGGGGAGGCCAGGTAACAAGTGTTCGGGGTCAAATAGGTTAATGTGATGGGGAAGATTGTTAGACCCGAGGCAGGTAACAAGTCTTCAGGGTCACGTGGATTAATGTGACGGGTGAGATTATTAGACCCGAACTCCTCACATGGTGTCTTCGGGGTTTCACATGGGTAAGTAGGTTTAGAACTAGGAACAAATGCAATGGGTCACATGGTGTCTTCGAGGTCACATGGGTTAATGTGACGGGGGAGATTGTTAGACCCGAGGTCCGGGTAACAAGTCTTCGGGTCACATGAGCTCGGAACAATTTTCATGGGTCACATGGGTTAATGTGACGGGGGAGATTGTTAGACCCGAGGCCCAGGTAACAAGTCTCTTCGGGGTCACATGGGTAAGTAGGTTTAGAACTTAGAACAATTTCCATGGGTCACATAGTGGGGAGGCCAGGTAACAAGTCTTCGGGGTCACATAGGTTAATGTGACGGGGAAGATTGTTAGACCCGAGGCAGGTAACAAGTCTTCAGGGTCACATGGATTACTGTGACGGGTGAGATTGTTAGACCCGATGCCCAGGCAACAAGTCTTCAGGGTCATGTGACGGGGGAGGCCAGGTAACAAGTCTTCGGGATCACATGGGTTAATGCGACGGGGGAGATTGTTAGACCCGAGGCCTAGGTAACAAGTCGTCGGGGTCATGTGACGGGGGAGATTGTTAGACCCGAGGCCCAAGTAACAAGTCTTCGGGGTCAGATGAGTTGATGTGACGGTATGATGGAGAGTTGGCTAGCTCACGCGCACGCGGGCCTCCGTCTCAGTAGCGCTTAGCGCTTTTCTTGAAACAAAACAGCACGCATGATGCTACAGTAATGGTGATTACAGAAAATGCTACAGTAATTTCTCAATAAAAATAAAAACAAACGATTTTGAAATTTTGAGTTAAAAGTTTTCAAATATTGACATGAAAATTTTGAAAATACGATTTGAATGTTTCCAAAATATCGACATGAAAGTTTTCAAATATGAGTTAAAAGTTTTTGAATTTTGAGTTAAAAGTTTTCAAATCTCGAGTTGAAAGTTTCAAACCTGAGTTGAAAGTTTTCAAATCTGAGTTGAAAATTTTCATATCTCGAGTCGAAAGTTTTCAAATCTTGAGTCAAAAGTTTCAATTTTGAGTTGAAAGGTTTCAAAACTCGAGTTGAAAGTTTTCAAATCGAAGTTGAAAGTTTTCAAATCTATGTTGAAAGTTTTCAAAATTTAACTTCAAAGTTTAAATCTTAAGTCAAAACTTTTCAAATGTAACTTAAAAATTTTCAATCTATTAGTAAAAAAATCTCCTTACAAAAGGAAAAAAAAATCTTTCCTTAATTACTATCATTATCCTTAACTAACCAACGTTACACACGCTATGCAAAATATTCTCGATCTAACAGTGCTGGTGGCACGCGCGTACGTCGTGGGCCGTGTGGGCCGAAGTGCGCGCCCGGGACGCGTATGCGCGAATTAGAAATCCTAATGATGGGGGAGCACGGCTTAAAAGGTGGGGATAGTCCTCAACAATCAGACTAGTCTTTTGGGTTGTGTAGGCTCAGAACCTAAAGTTGTGACTCTAGTTGGGCCTGTGGTGGAGCAGGGCCAGTGTGACCTGGGTAGTTCCGATTGGACCTATGGTAGAGCAGGCCCATGTGACCTGGGTGGCCCACGGTTGGTGGGCCAGGCTGCGCACTGTAACATTCGGCTACCGCAACGACCTGCTCTCCCTGCTGGAGCCTGGAAGAGAGCACCGGCAACATCACGATTGTCAACCCAGCCACCGTTTCACGGTCTCACCCGTCCTGCCGCCGCCGCGGCTGCCTCCGAAATCGGAACTGCGTGTTCCATAGGGCCGCCGTCAGCTTCGGCTGCCACCCTACGACGGGGGATGGAATCATGGAAGTACACAAGATCGTCCACATCCCCGTCCGCGTGCGGCGAGGTCTCGGTGTTCGACGTGGTGGACGTGCTCACGCTGCGCGTGGCGGGGCGATGACGGCGTGAACTTGACATGGCGGGAGCTGCGACATCAACTGTGGCCTCGTGAGCGTCGACAGCGCGACGTACTACTGGATCGCCATGGACGGCGCCGCCATCATGTCCTTCAATCTCGAGTGTTATAAAAGTTAGTCGATATAGCGGAACAACGACTAACCTTCCCAATCGCTTCAGTCCTTGATCGCCCAAGACATG